TGTTGCAAAAGGTCAACATCTACATTACCCTATATGAAGTTTGCGTGTATAATTTTGTGTGGAYCCCATTGTCACTATTCATGCAYAGTAAATTCTGTCTATTTCACCGTCTATATAAGRAAATGTTTTCGTCATTTGTAACTTWGCAATTTTCATTTATCAGAACTTCTTTCAATATACAATCTCTCTTTATTATCTCAGTATCCTATTTTCTACGGGTAAATTTTTTTTTTTATTTTCTTAAAAGTTTCTTTACCATAAATCAATAATTTACTTTTATAACATATATATCATTTTTACATAAACAAGTACTGTATCAACAAATTCTGGCACAATTATTGAGCAGCTCAACGATAACTTGAAAGACATTTTTCTACACTGATTTCATACCAATACAACTGGTGATTACCGCACAAAGTTAAAGTAAAAGACTAAACTAAATTGATGCTACATTCTATGGTTTCGCCTTCGTTTAAATTACCAGCTACTGGGATGTGACGAAAGTTATCACCTGAACAGTTAAGAATTGCTCTTTGCACAGTATGATGTTGCGATTCTAAATCATTATTATGGCTCTGGTCTTTGTAGCTCGCGAATGCGCCTAAAGCTCCAAGAAACCCTTCATGTCGTAAGAACATTGCCTTTGCCTCACCTCTTGACCTGAAATATGAGAAAATTGTAAATAGGAATTATGCACAGACACACAAGATCTGGAGGGATTTAATTTAGTTTCAGTTTCGGATTACCAAAAGTGAACAGCCACAGATATTGTGTCCATGGTGTACTCGTGCCCACGGATAAAAAATCCACCAAAGAAAATACGCTTAAGGCCGAATCTCAGAGCATTCAAGTAAGCAATCTGGAAAAAATGATACAATCCAATCAGAAAAATCATCAGCTTCGTTTTGTAAAATGCATGGAAATGTTTGCATGAACTGACCTGACCAATGTTATTTGATATCATTCTTAAAAGGGATCTTGCGACATCTTCCGGCTGGTAATCTTCCAGTTCTTTTCCATCAGAAATCGCTTTCCCGAAGCTGGAAGCAATGGCTGTTGAAGAGAGACCAATCTACCACAAAAAAGAATGAAAAAACCGGGTTTGATTTACATTTGAATATAATCTAACGCGATAACAGATTCAAATACGCAGAGATATTTCAGCAAACTAAGATTAAATCAATTACCTTTGAATAGTCTGTTCCACCATAGATATCACCCACAAGCATGTCAATTACTCTGTTATTTCCATGGTGACTTAACTCAAGCAGCTCATCAAAACTGAAATAAAGCGATATTAGTTACTCCGGCAAGGAAGAAACTACATGAATAGAGTTAAATAAAAAGCCACCTCTTGCACTTTGTTAAGAGCTTTCCAAGACCTAAAAATGTGCCTCCACCAAGGCTTGTTCCACTTATCCGCTCATACTTTCCATCTCCATCGACCTACATAAGAACAAGTTTTGAGTAAGCAACATCACTGATGTAGTTGCACAACCAGAAAAAAAGTGATCAGAGAAGCCAATAACATAGTGAACCTTGATCATACTAACGCCAGAGCCGATATTAACAAGGAGATATGGATACAAATCGTTATGGTCGATCTGGACAAACTCTTTCTGTCCATCCAAGTAGGTAAAAGCTTCCCTTGGGACTGTCTGCAATTAGATTCAGACTCCAGGAGTAAGCAAGCATGCGATAGTTTATTATTACATACAGTACTTCTATAGGCTAGTAGCGATGTAAAATTGCACAATTAAGAACTTTTTCAAAAATCTTTTACCCCATGGAGATCTTCAATTCAATGAAGAATCTTATCCCAGAGAAAACTTTAGCAAACACACAATCAAATGTAGATTTCAGAAGCATAACTGTAGATTATCATCAACGTCAAATATTTAATATCCTAAATGATAATCTAGCTATGTTTGCATTCTTCTTGAAGTTAGTCAGCAATACCACTCACGCCAAGAGATAGTTACTATCAGGAGAACATAACACAACTTCACACATATAAAAGCTTAGCAAAAGATTGTTGACCAAGATGAATGAGTATGTGCCTAGACTCTTCGGTGTAAGGCGTTGCACAAGTGTGTTAGAAAGGACAAAAACAAGAAGCATATTCGACAAGCAGATACAACATATATATATAACAGACGGAGATCCTCATTTTGGGTAATGTCAGAAAAAACTAAGAGATAATGATAGGATAGAAAAAATCCTACCTTTAAGAGAAAATTCACACCCCCAACAAGACAATGCATCTCATCTTCCTTATCGAAAAGAATTCCAAGTTTCTCGTTAAATAGATCAGCAAACTTAAACGCCCCACCACCTGTGGCCTTTTGGAAATATCATATCAATTAGTAAAAGTTATCTACAAACTGAAATTCCTACTGCAACATTCCTCACACTACAAAGCTTTAGCCAATGCTATAACCGATATCTTTTACCTTAATCGAAAGTTTATCACGGGCTGTGCCATTCGGATGCTGATGAACACCTGAACAATTACATCTATCAGTTAATCT